CACACCTGTCCGGTCCCCCTGGTGTCTCCCCCGCATCCAATCCCTGCCTGACTGATACCCCCAGTGTGATTCCCCCCAGGACTGACTCCTCCAGGACTGGCCCCCCGTGTCTGATCCTCTCCGGGACTGTAGCCCTGTGTCTGATGCCCTGGAATCTGACACCCCCAGTGTGATTCCCCCCAGGACTGACTCCTCCAGGACTGGCCCCCCGTGTCTGATCCTCTCCGGGACTGTAGCCCTGTGTCTGATGCCCTGGAATCTGACACCGGAGACTGGCCCCCAAGTCTCCCCTGTTTCTGGTCTACCGGTGTCTGACTCCCTGCTTGTCTGACTCCCCAGAGACTGACCTGGGTCCGATCCCCCTAGGGCAGGGGTGTCCAAACTTTTTTCAAAGAGGGCCAGATTTTATGAAGTGAACATGCGTGAGGGCCGACCATTTTGCCTGACATTCTTTGAACCATTAAAATTAAACACAAATTAACTATTTTATGCAAAGTTTATTGCAAGCGGCATACTTTTCATTTCGTCACATGGATGACAAATCTAAACAGGTGTTAAATCACTCTGCCTTTCATATCTGAAGGCCAGATGAAAAAAAAAATCCAGGAAGCTGAAATATATGTCAGGAACATTGTAAAGTATATTACATATTATTGGTAATAAAGGTTGTCTGTCAACTTTTAAGTTCAAAAAATATGAGCAGGAACATAACACCAAGTATACATGTTGTGTCCAAATATATTTATAACTGATTTAGACCAACTGACATTAACTGAGATTTTACAATGTATTCATCTCAATACATATGGATTCGTTGGGGGCCATAAAAGATGGATATTGCCAAATTACCTGTGGGGCCGTATTAAACCGGAACACGGGCCGCAATTGGCCCGCGGGCCGGACTTTGGACATGCCTGCCCTAGGGTCTGATCTGCCCAATGTCTGATCCCCCTGAGTCTGATTCTCCCAGAATCTGAGCCCCCAGTGTCTGGTCCTCTGAGACTTTCCTGCAAGTGTGGACATTTAAATTGATAAAAATTTAAACCAAAATTTTACATAAGTGAAAACCGAACTCTGCCAACCCCGGCAACAGACACACAAAGTGTCCTGGCTCTGCCCTTGCTCTCTGAGCCCTTCCCCCCCCCCC